GGAGTTGGGAGTTGGGGGGGCGTTTTTGTGAATGGGGGGCGTGGGAACGGGGCGGAGTTTACGCGTGGGGGGCGTGGGAAGGGGGCGGGGCTTGTGAGGGGCGCGGGGGTTATGAATGAAGGGGTGGGGGTTGGGAAAAGGGGGTCGGGGGTCTTGAATGGGAGCTCGGGGGTCACGAATGGGGGTGGAATTGGGGGTCCCGGGGGTCGAATTGGGGGTCTTGGGGTTGGAATTTCGGCTCCCAGGGGTCGAATTGGGGGTCCCGGGGGTGAAATTGGGGGTCCCGAGGTTGGAATTGGGGGTCCCGGGGTTGGAATTTCGGCTCTTGGGGGTGAAATTTCGACTCCCGAGGGTGGAACTGGGGGTCCCGCTTCCCCCAACGGGGGTCCCCACACCCTCCCCGACTGTTCCGGCCTCCTGTCAGGCGGCTCCGGCCTCCTCCCGGAGTCTCCCTCGGAATCCCCCCGAACCCCCAAACTTCTCCTGTCTCCCCCTCCTTGCTCACCCCCCTCCCCTTTCCTCCTCATCCTCATCCCCAGCTCCCCCTCGCACCCGGAGCGTCGCCTCGCCGTGCGCAACACCTGGGGCGGCAACACCTGGCCGGACACCGACACCCCCCCGAGCCGCACCGTGTTCGTTCTGGGTGTTTCCACCTCCCCACGAGAACAACGGGAGGTGCTGGAGGAATGGCGACAACACCGTGACATCCTCCAGGGCGATTTCCTCGACACCTACGCCAACCTCACCTGGAAAACGCTGTTGTTGCTCCGATGGAGCCGTTCCTGTTGCGGGGGAACCCCGTTCCTGCTCAAAGCCGACGACGACGTCTTCGTCAACGTGCCGGCTGTCGCGGCGTACCTGACGGAGCGAACGGCGCGACCCTCCCGACTGTACCTGGGTCGCGTCCACTGGCGGGTGACGCCGAACCGAGACCCCCGCAGCCGTCACCACGTCCCGGCGCGGTTGTACCCCGGCTCCCGGTTCCCGCCGTACTGCAGCGGCACGGCGTACGTGCTGTCGCGTCAGGCGGCGCTGGCGGCGTTGGCGGAGGCGCCGGGGGTACCGCCGGAGCTGCCGGAGGACGTGTGGGTCGGGCTGTGCGCCGGGAGGGCGGGGGTGGCGGTGAGACACTCGGCGAGGTTCGGGGGTTCGTGGCGGTTTCCCGCCGAGGGGTGTTGCGTGGGGCGGGTGTTGTTCAGCGCGCACGGGGTGCGGCCGTGGGAGATGAGGAGGGTGTGGGCGGAGCGGCCGGGGGGTTGTGGGGTGTTGCGGGGGGCCCTGGGGGTGACGGGGTGTCGACTGATGGCTCTGGGGGCGTGGCTGTGGGGAGAGGGGCGGGGCGAGGGGGAGTGACGTCACTGGGGAGGGCGTCGGGGTGGCGTCGTGGGGTGGTGATGTCATTGGGGTGGTGACGTCATTGGACGGTGAGGTCATTGGGCAGTGATGTCATCGGGCTGTGATGTCATTGGACGGTGAGGTCATTGGGCAGTGATGTCATTGGGCAGTGACGTCATTGGGCGGTGATGTCATCGAAGTGATGTCATTGAAGTGATGTCATTGGGCAGTGATGTCATTGGGGTGATGTCATTGGGGTGATGTCATTGGGGTGATGTCATTGGGTGGTGATGTCATTGGGCAGTGATGTCATTGGGCGGTGATGTCATTGAAGTGGTGTCATTGGGCAGTGATGTCATTGGGGTGATGTCATTGGGCAGTGATGTCATTCGGCAGTGATGTCATTGGGGTGATGTCATTGGGGTGATGTCATTGGGCAGTGATGTCATTGGGCAGTGATGTCATTGGGGGGTGATGTCATTGGAGTGAGGTCATTGTGCGGAGTTGTCATATTGGGGAGGTCATTGGGC